TCTTTGATCCAATATAGGGATTAGTCTATCCGTGATGCACAAACACTTTAATAAGACGGAAGGAAGGACTAATATAACGCAAAAAAAATAAATTCCAGAAATAAGTTAAACATGAAAACATGTCATATGCAAAACATGAGTACATATATATATCCTAATAAATATACAGTATATGTATATAACAAATTGTCCCACACGGCAAAATGTAATATATATATATATATATATATATATATATATATATATATATATATATAAACAAGCAGTATTTGGAGGGAATGAATAAAAAAGATCTTATTTGTAACGTTCCCAAGCGAAACACAGTACAACTTCACAAGATCTTTTCGGTTCCTTTTTTTTAAGCATCGGACTTTCGCATACGCTCGTGTAAAGCTATGCAGTAATTGACTATTCTTCCCAGCAGGCTGTCATGTAACTCTCAAGAGTCCCTTAAGACATCAGCACATTTTCTTCCTGTCAAAAGGGAGACAGTTGCTTTTTGTATCCCTACATTACACTGAGTACCCAGAGATTTATGATAAGTTTCAATAACAATTCTGGTTTACTTCCTCGAACGATTCTCATTGTTGTATGATAAACACGTAGCCTCCCATTACAATGTGTCATTTTATATTTCTATTGACACTCTAAAGATTAATTATCACCCACAGCGGGAATAAAGAATTAATAACGTATAATATAGTTTATTTTTTTCGGAGTGATATGTCTGGGAAATCCACTGTCCATGTTTTTTAGTTTGAGCAATAAATCACGTAACTATATAGGCCTCTCACGATCTGATGAGTAGTATTAACATCGATTCCAAGGTAACAATTATCAAGGTGACTCCTTGGTGTAACATATGACAAGAAAATTTAAGAGTTGTGGAGTTTTGCAGAAGTTAAAATTTTGCATGTCACGCTTATTTCCGTTACGCAAAATAGACATTACGTGAGGCTACCGCGGAACCAAAGAGAATCGCTCGCGGGAGCAAGAAAACCTTTCTGCTTCTTTTTTTTTTTTTTCTCTCACTAGACATTGATCACGAGGCTCGGCCTCTTTTTCATGGGTTCATCACTATAGTGTAGAAAGACGTCATATTAATCTCTCCCAAAATGCAGACTTCACAATAAGGACATATTTCATAATTCCGAAAAAATACTCAATACATTTCAGGTAAACACATTTTATACACCAAACACACTTGTACATTTCTTACTTATCATTTGTTTTTATTTTTTATAAGCTACTAGCAGTAGAGCCCGGCGTTGCCCGGGGATATAACAGTAAGAGATAGATCGAGTATCCACCATCATAAAGACTGAAAAATAAAATTGACAAAGATTATTGTTTAAGGTTGACGGACACGCATGTCTTAATTAGTTTTTTTTTTTTTTTTTTTTACGAATTGGTCAAACCCAAACTCAAACACAAAAATTGTTTTCAATCGTTATGAGTCTACTGATTGAATAGAATTTTATTATAAACAATTGTCTTGTAAATGGAATTTTTAAAGCATTCTGAATGTAAAAATAAAGAAAAAAGTTTGCAAGACAATAAGAAACACTACCTGCCAAAAAAAAAAAAATAAGTGAAGTTTTGTTTTATCGGCTGAAAAATATAGGAAATCCACTCCCATATTTAAAGTAACCCACACACACAAACAAACCGATGTGAGTTGTCCCCCTTCCATTTTCACGAATATTATATTTTTCCCATTTTTGGCGCTGTTAGAACCACCACAAGGTAATTTTATGTAGTCCTGTGAAGTTTTGTTGAAATCGGTTGAAAAATGTAGGAAATCCGATCCAATATATAAACGTTACACACACACACACACACACACACACACACACACACACACACACACACACACACACACACGCGTTTTATAATAAGTAAGATTTTCTGTGTAACTCACATGGTTCTGTTTTAGTTTCTGATTGTAGCCAGTCTCGTATGATTTGCCGTCCTCTCTAGATTTGCTTTCTACGAATGATAGGATTAATGGAAGTGGCAGACAGTAACATCACTTGTTACTTTCAGGCAGTATAACCATGTGTCTTTGACTGAATGTAGTTTAGGGAGTTACCTTTAAAAGCTGAAAAAAGGCATAATAAACGCATTTCTAAATAAAAAAAAGAATAACGTCCCGTTCAGTGAATAGTAAAGATATTGAATAGATTTATCACAAAACACATAATCATGAACATTTAACCTTCAACCTCTCCCAAAAGCATAAAATTAGATTTTACAAATTTCAAAGTTTAAAAAAAAATATTGCAAAAGGTATAAAATAAAATTTCTGATTTCTTAGATTTCCTCTGTATTGTATCTATCTATTCATGTACTTGAAAAAGATTACGAAACTGCGTCTATCACCCCATGGCAAGATATCATTTCATATTATTCTATAGTATATTCATATATATATGATAATGCAGAGAGAGTGACACACACACACACACACACACGGAGAGAGAGAGAGAGAGAGAGAGAGAGAGAGAGATACACGTGGAAACAAGATGTTGCAAGAAAAAGAAAGTATATTTTTAAAACATAAAAATGGGTAAAATTATTTTTATATATAAAAAAGAATTTGATTTGGAGGAAGTTGACAAGATGCTTTGTAGTAAAAGCAAATTTTGGCATGTGGAATACAAACCTTTCTTCTAAAGGATGTTGTAGTGGAGAGGGACGCAATGTGAAATGTACCGAGGGCCCCCAAATCGGTATGAGGTTAAAGACGTGAAATTTGACAGGTGAAACAAAAATGGACAACAGAACGAGGATATTTAAGATTAATACAAAGTTTATTTACAATATAGACCTGAGTGGCCGTGGGTTAAATTGAAAGGTGGTATGACTGGACGTGTCGATGGTTGGACTGGTCGTGTCGATGGTAGGAAGTCGAGATGTGGCTGTTCCGGTCGTGTCGACGGTCGGACTGAATGTGTCGGGCAGGAACGTATCGGCGACGGGAAGCTGGTCAGTAGTGAGCAGGAGCGTTATCGGCGACAGTAGCTGGTCAAAAATAGGAAGCTGGCATTGCGATGTGGTGCTGGAGTTGTGACGTTGTTCGTCAGATCTAGTGTCCGGTGCTGGCGTGGCGTATCTGCTGGTCGAGTCCGATGTCGAAACCTTCCGTAGTATTATAACCGTAGTATACGGGAGAAGTTATTTAAGTCTGGGCGACGTACAAGCAGCAAGTAGGGACAGTATGTCGGGAGTAGAAATGCACAAGAAGCCAGAAGTAAGAATTCAGTTGGCAGACAGAAAAAAAAAGTAAAAAAAAAAGGGAACGTAACTTAATACACAGCCCGTCCAAGCCTTTCTTCTTCGACCGAGATTTATTTTGTAAAAATACAAAATTGTGGTTGGCGAGAAGTCACCATCTTATATTAAGAGAGACCAACAACAACCACAGGTCTCGCAAAATACCAAAAATCTTGGGGAAAAAATAAGCTGAGATTTGATACGAAAAATGTTGTAGAAATAGCCAGGAAGTGTATTACAACTAGGTTCGTAACACAAAAGGAACTAAAAAGTCACTAGATCAATTGTAAAACTAAATTAAATTAAATTAAATTACATAGTGTGTAGCGGCTTTAAGCAAGTGGATGACAGAATGTGGTCTGGGGGAGGTGGCTAAAGGAAGGGACTTGTTGAGAGCTGCAAGGGATAGAGGGAGGTGGAGAGCCATGATCGCCTATGTCCTGAAAGGATACAGCACACAGAAAAAAGGTGTAGGGAACGCGATGAAAAGCTCAAGGTCGAAGCGTCCTATTCGTTCCTGTTTGGGAGTGGCCAAGGGCGGCCGCGACAATGTCATATGTTTCCTTCGTACTCTTTATTTAACTGATTAGTGATTACAATTTAGCAAACTCATTTCAATCAATTGTGGATTACTTGTGAAATATCTACTGGGCAATTGTATTAACCAGAGAAAAGAAAGTTCCTTGAAAATTAAAATTAAGTTCTAAAAGTCGCAGAATCGTTGGAAATTGCAACTTGTAGCCCTATCACAACTGGTTTGAAGAACACTCAAAAATGTTTAGGGGCATAAAACTATTTAATTATTAGATTGTTTATTTATAAGAATAATTTTATAAATTTTTGAATAAAAAGATTTATTTCTAAATTATTTCTTTATAAATGATAAAACTTTATAAAATGGTAAATAATAACTATCTCATTGTACTTGGTTCATATATATTTTATAATCTTATAAAACAAAACACACATTTCCGATGGTGTCTCGTTAGTATATAATAATAGCGATGTCAACAGAAAAAACGTCCTTTTGAAATACCGCTTTTTTGCGGGCACGAAGGTTAAACTTTGCCGAATACTTGACAGTTTCTTCATAGAGGAAGAAGAGACTTAAAGCGGCAAAGGTATGATTCTACCGAAGAATGCTGAGATTACCATAGACAGAACATCTGAGAAACGAGAAAGTTTTAAGGAAAATAGGAAGTACAATGAAAATGATACATACAACCAAAAAGAAACCGCTGTAATTTCTGGGACACATAGTGAGGAAAGAGGGTCTGAAAAAACAAGACTATTAAAGAAAATAGCAGACGTTTTGTTTGGGATTTGCGTTAAAACAAACGTTAGATTAAAAGTAAGTGTTTATGGATGCATGTGAGATGAACGTGAAAGAACCTCTCTGATACTATGTTCAAGTTTATCAATTAGTTTCAAGAGGCACAGAATAAGAACTTGATTTTGAACAACTTAAAAAGAAAAAAAAAACACAGTTCAGTGATGTCCTAAACAGTAGATTCCTCCGTCCATATTGTATTTAGAAATGTGAAAAAGTCCCAACCTCAGGGTTGAAATGTCAGACCACCAGGGAACATCTCTTATGCAAACAAATCTTACGACCCGTTAGATTTGAACGGGATTTTTGAAGCTTTTTTCTTGAAAAGTATTCTGGCTAATAAATCACATCAATCCGAATGAATAGGTCTTTACTTTATGTAAACAACTTAATCTCAAAGGTTTAGATAGATAGATAGATAGATAGATAGATAGATAGATAGATAGATAGATAGATAGATATTTGAACCGAGGAAGTCATTTATTACTTATTATCTTCGACCTGTTTGGAGATTATTTGAAAAACAGACAATAAGTCTTACGAAATCAACATTTTGAGCCAAATGGAGTTAAGGACAATCTGAGTGTTGAGATGATTTCAATCTGAGTGATATAAAAGCCAGAATATAAGTGTAGTGGGTACCACGTGCGGGATTCAAGTTGTGGCGGCACTACGTTTATATTAACGATACTTCCAACGAAAAGGATTCAAGTAATAATAACAACAACATCAACTTGATAACCAACAAATATATATTGAATAAAATACAACAAGCATGAAATAATTTGTCATTCACATAGTAGATTAAAGAGAAAGAAGTTGTTCCCCTTTAACTGTAGATTGATTTGTAATTAATTGTTCGAAGAAAGTTCTCTTGTTGCTTGGTATGTGTTGTGAATAAACTGGTTTGAATCAACAAAGTTCTGGTTCATTGTACTTGGCAAAAGTTACAGAGAGGAAATGTAAGTTTGTAGTTACGAAATTCTGTGTTTGTGTTTGCGTTGAGCAAGATCGTGGATTTGTGTTGACGGCTTGAATTTTACGGGATCTTACTGGCGACTTGCGAAAAGTCGCCCCTTTTAGGAAAAAATGTAGGCTCCCACGGAACCGCGAGAAACCTCGATCTTACATTAAAAATATGTGATTGGTTAAAAATTAACCAATCACTACACTCGTACTGAACAGAATAGGTAAGTATGCTCAAAACCAAAAGATTCAAAGAAACGACTGCGATGGCTAAATTGTCCTATACAAAGGTAGTAGTAGTTTATTAGCCAATCGCTGGCGAATAATATGTGGGTGTGGAAAACATATTAGGTTGCTGCAAAAATAATGTCGTTTTTTGACGTTCAACTTCAAAAGATCATAACTCCTTTCATAATAAACTTTATTAATCGAAATAAGAACCATTAGAATCGACACATTTTTGCCAACGAGAAACAAGTTTATTTATCCCATTAGCATAGAAATCCGGAGTTCTGGAAGTGATGAAGTCATTGAAGGCCGATTCGGCATCATCTCGGCTTTTGAAGCATTTTTCGCGCAGGAAGTTGTCGAGATGCTTGAAAAAGTGATAATCGGTGGGCGAGAGGTCCGGTGAATATGGCGGATGAGGCAGAGTCTCGTAGCCCAATTCGTTCAGCTTCTGCAGGGTCAGTTGAGCAACATGCGGACGAGCGTTGTCATGGAGGAGAATTGGTCCCTTCATATTGACCAATCTCGGGCACATACGTTGGAGCTTCTGGTGCATTTCGTCAATTTGTCGGCAGTACTTCTCCGCCGTAATCGTTTCGCCCGGATTCAAGAAGCTGTGATGGATGAGACCGGCCGCAGACCACCAAACAGTCACCATAAACTTTTTTTGGTGCAATTTCGGCTTCGGGAAGTGTTGTGGAGCTTCTCCGGCATCCAACCACTGTGCGAACGTCGCCGGTTGTCGTAGAGGATCCACTTCTCATCACACGTCACAATCCGTTCGAGAAATGGGTCGTTTTGTTGCGCAGAAGGAGCGTAGAAGACACCTCAAAACGACGATTTTTTTTGATTATCGTTCAATTCATGCGGCACCCATTTATCCAACTTTTTTGACTTCCCTATTTGCTTTAAATGGCGAACGACTGTTGAGTGGTCGACCTCGAGTTCAACAGTAACTTCTCGTGTGGTTTTGCGAGGATCGGATTCAATTAAGGCTTTCAAATGTTCGTTATCAACCGCAGTCGGCCGGCTGCGACCGTCTTCATCTTCGAGGCTCTCGTCACCATTGCGAAATTTCTTGAACCACCGTTGTGCCACACTTCGTTAGTGGTTCCTGGGCCAAACGCATTATTGATATCACGAGCTGTCTCGGCAGCTTTTCGGCCTAGTTTGAACTGGAACAAGAAAATCGTGCGGATTTGAATTTTGTCAATGCTGTCGAAAAGCCTGCAAAAAATGAATGAAGAGATTGAGAACGGTAACGAATAACACGATTCGATAGAGCGAAAAACGCGCTTCAAAATGATATATAACATGGCTATATATATCAATGAATTAATTCAGAAATCATATATAAAAGTAACATATGTGAGAAAACGACATTATTTTTGCACCAACCTAATAGCAAATCGCTATATAACCAATGAGTCACAACCCGTTAAAGAAGAACACGCAGCAGGATCAATCCGTTCACACGTTGTCAAATCAAACACAACTTTCCATCAAAATCTGTAACAAGCTATTCAGTACCAGAAATACAAACTTATATTTACACATACACGTTCAATGTTCTATATTCATTTAACAACCTCAAAGTAGTTCAAAACAGAAATTTTTCATTCCATTCTCAATACCATTGATTGCTCGTCCGTCAGTAATAATGTACATTGAATATTTTGCCATAAAAGTTGGAGAGGCATAATCGCTTTCGTGCTGAAAGGACTTGGCGCATAAAAGATCCCTCTTCAGTCTTCATAATATTTATTGTTCTTTGAAGCAGCGTTTCTCTTTCATTCGCATATATCGTATTTCACGTGATACAATACAATACTTTGTTGTTCCATGCATGCAAACAACGAACATTGTTTACCGATTAAAGTAAGAGAAGGTGAATAACTTTATACCGGGCAAATTGTTTCTCATACAACACACATCATTGGTAATAGTAAAAATTAACTTATTTCAACAAGTCAAGCAAATTAAACATGATATGTGGATTAAATTACTACACGCAGAAGTCAATTATTAGACTCGAGTACAGTGAGTGGGCCGCAGCATGGGGATGAAAGACGATAGTCTTTCAAAGAACCTTGTCCATAAAATAAGTAAATAATAAAATTTAATTGTAGTGTCAAAAAATAATTATAACAATTATAATTATCATGAATTCACTCATTCTAAACCAATGAAAATCGACCTAGCTTTTTTATACACACAAGCATGTGTCATTCTCACTTTTGGACAAGCAGTTCACACGGGCAGATCGTTAACACGTGCGTCAACAAAAATTTCATCTCCTTTCCCTTATTCAGGCCATAATAGCAACATTCATCTGTTAGCACTCAGCAAAAATTCGAGTTAATGAAACCCCAGTCACTTGTATTTTTCAATCTAAATTATCTAAATTACACACATCAATGAAAATAACACACAAGAAAGACTGTATGCACTTTGCTTTTCTTTTTTTTTTTTTAAGCATTATGCCCCGAGCAAGGCGTGTTGATAGGGTTTGGCATGCCGGCCTTCTTCGTAAGCTCCAGGGTTATGGTATTACAGGTCGATTGTTTGATCTAATACAATCATTCCTGTCAAACCGTGAATTGAAGGTCGTTCTCAACGGATTCTTCTCCAGTTCCTATCTCATCCTTGGCCCCACTCTATTCCTTATTTTCATCAACGACCTTCCTGACGCCGTAGATTCCCAAGTTGGCATCTACGCGGACGACACTACAATTTACTCCTGCCTCAAAAACAAATCTAGTGTCGGTGACAAAACTAACCTGGCCGTGCGTCTTGAAATGGACCTCCAATCGGTTGTTAATTGGGGCAAGAATTGGCTGGTCAACTTTAACGCCTCAAAAACTAAACTACTCTCTATTAATCACCATAGAGATCCTTCCCTGCACCCCATTAGAATGTCTTATAGTCAACTTCTTGTGAGCAACTCCCTGCGTTTGCTCTGTCTAACGTTGACTGCTGACCTGAGATGGAACAAATACATTCAATTGCTTCTTCCACCGCGAGGAAAGTTGGCTTTCTGTGCCGCGCCAGGAAATTTTCCTCCCCGGAATCGATACTTCAAATATACAAATCAACCATTCGCCCTTGCATGGAGTATTGCTGCCATATATGGTCTGGGGCACCTTCTGTTTACCTCTGAGTTCTTGACAAAATCCAGAGACGGATATGTAATATAATTGGCCCTGATCTGGCGTCTCGTCTACAGTCAGTCTCTCACAGACGCGCCGTCGCCTTTCTCTGTCTTTTCTGCAAATACTTTCATTGTAATTGCTCCGATGAGCTGCTTTCACTGGTTCCCAGACTCCATGAATTCAAGCGCCCTACGAGGCTGGCATCCCGCTCGCACCCTTACACTGTAGAAACTTTTAAATGTAGCCGTCTCTTCTACTCCAATAGCTTCATACCTCGCACCTCTCGCCTGTGGAACACCCTTCCCAATTACTGTTTCCCTGAGAGCTATAATCTCCAACTATTCAAATGTAATGTCAATCGACACCTCCAGTTATCTTGATCTACCCACTATCCCTCTCCTCGTCCTTTCTTCTATCACTCCTATCTGCTCTTGCTCCAAATCTTCTGCAACCCCCTGCATCCTAGTGGCTTCACTTATTCTTTATCTCATCCTTCTGTCGTATTCCGATCCATATTTGATCTACATTTGACCTCAAACTCACAATTTTACTCACTATTACTGTTTCTCCTGTCTCCAATACCATATAACCACCAGATATAAATAACACTTATTTCATTTTTTTATTGTCTTGCTTTTCATTTTTACGAATATTTTTGTATATATAAATGTTAGGGAGGATTATAATTATTTACTCAGAGGTATAACTCCCCTACACCCTCCTGTTAGAAAAAGTAGACTCTAGTCGACGGAGAACTTGGGACACATTGAAGAGATGCAAATATTCTTTGAATTAAAAACAATCATTTGTCTTTAAGCATTGCCAGTTGGAAACAGGCAGAGGACATGGAGGCACATGATCTGTCAAGTAAAAACTCTCTTATTGAAGGACATACTTCTCCAGTACAGCTGTAGACGTGACAGTCTGCAGCACATGAAAAATATTTTTAAATTTTCATTATGGAGCCAAGCTATGTCTTAAAATATTTGCGGTATATAGGATGCACCAATAAATACATTATATAAATTGATCTGCGTCTTATATGCGCAGTTGTCTTAACTTTGCATATAAGACGCAGATCAGAGCAAACTTTTAGCCTAAACATTCACTGCTATATTTTTGCCCCAGTCAGTCACTTTTACCTAGGTCGACATCATAATAATATTTATTCACACAAAAACATTATTAACATTTCTTCTTTTGTTTTTCGTTTTCAATCGGATATATTGCATTATGTGTGTTTTCCAAGTCAGACGACCTCAAACAGAACTTTTCGCAGAATATTTGCAGAGCCAAACAACGCAGACTTCTGAAGTAATGGGATACTAGGATTTATTCAGATTTTCTCAATGTAGGTCCAGTGACAACAGGAACAATAGTGGTCTGAATGTCTCACATTCTGACAACCTCAACCCAGAGGTCAGCGTACATTTTAAGTTTGCCAATTTCATTGACTATGATATTTTTTCATCGACGATTATTTATGGGTTGATGGCCTCAAAGTTGCGGTTTGTTTGAATGTTGAAATCTCTTGACTTGGTCCTTTTCGATCACCTTCTCTGGTTTGTGGCGGTATCATTTCTGTTCGACTTCTTACATAGTCACCAATGCAGATGAGAGATCAATTTATCTTGGCATTCTGAGCAAGCATTCCACATGTGTTAATGATGTAGGTGACATTTTCTATCTCTATGCTACACAGCCTGCATTTGTCCGAAGCCATTTGCCGGCCAGAATTAGTATTCAGGACTTGGTATTGGGCGGCTACCAGTAGACATTTATTCTTATGTTTCAGCTCAATTTCGTCAGACGATCCCACGAGTCTTTTGTTTTAATGCTTTTGGTGTTGTGGAGGTTGTGTTAATGGATTAAATTATATTGATCAAAAATTGTTGAGTAAATTAGTAAATATCAATTTTCGTACAAAAAGTGGATCACAGAGCTTATTCAGCTTAATGTATATTTTCAGAAATCTCAACTTCTAATTGGTCACTTAATATTTAATAACATCGACCTAGTTCTTGAACTAATCAGAAAGATAATCCCCCCCAAATCTATCAAGCTTCTGTGAGCCTATCACATGACCAAAGTTAGCAATAAAATATGAAACGTCTTTCATCTTCGACAGTGCGCCGATCGGAATCCTTTGAACTAGTCACACAGTTCCAGGCTTTACGTTAAAGTCCTTAACATGATTCCAGCCTGAGAGAACACTCATTCACACAGCAATATTTTATGACAAACAATCAACTCAAGTTTTCCACATTCAACTTAACACTTTTTTTCAATACCTTTCAATCTCAACATTAATTATTGCAATTAACATAAACACAGCTTATTAAAACCATTTACCCAAACTAGAATATTCTCTTCGAACAAGTGAAAACAAATCAAAGAGCGACAATTCTGTAAACCTTAAAGTAAGTCGTAAACAACATTTCTCTATTTCAAATACAAACTTGAACTGTTTATTTTTTTCTTAAATTACAATAATACCCAAACACACTTTCTCATTATTGTAAAGACCATTTAACAAATTATAATCTATCAAACCAGAACTTCGATAACCTTTCATCTAAACATAAAAGGACGTTCGAACTTTTTAAAACCACCTCTTTACTCCAGTTGTTTTTGTATCTCATGTTTATATAAATATTTTATTCATTGTTGTGCAATAACTGTTGTTTCTCATGTTGTCCTTATTCTATGTTAATTGTTAATTTCATCACGCAGCCTAATTTACTCAACAATTTTTGATCAATATAATTTAATCCATTAACACAACCTCCACAATATTCACTCACTACACACTCTTCAATGTTATGTCCTCTACTTCCTTTTTTGAAGAAAGTATAATCATATCACATTTAACTTTTGGTGCAGGGCACCAATTAAAAAAAAAACCCTAAAACACTGTTTATATTGTTCGGACTATCATGCTCGTCTTTTTGCCATATTTTCACAACGTTTCGGCTGTTGTACGCTCCGGACTTCTTCAGGTGGTTGGAATGTCGAACTTAACCCTTTATTTCGCTTGCTGGGGTAGACTGTTCTAGTTTCATGTGCCATGTCTAATGGATGTCAGTTATCAGTTATCTCCTGTTAATTCTCCTCCACCGCTTTAACCAGGTATTGAACTCACACTCTTTGGGTTCTGTCAATGGATCTAACTAACGCCTTTATCCACTGTGCCATGTGTCCTTCCGGCAACAAAGATGAGGATGATAGTCCGAACGATGTAAATAGTGTACATAATACCTCATCTCAGAAATACAGACAGACATAAAACACTGTTCTGGTCTTTCTGTTCAGAGTTTGTGACTCCACCTTTGTCCATTCAGACACTCTTCCACTATACCTCACCACAGATACAGCCCAGGTATTAATGGCAGTTATAAAATTACGGGCATTCACTTGAACTTCAGAAGAAGGGGTAACCTTTATTATTACCGGTACTGTAAAAAGAATTACCATAACAAAATATTGGCGATGTTCGTCGGTACCAGCTAATTTTTCACGCCTAAATACGCTTCAACACACTCCTATGATTAACATAAAGACTACAGGAAAAAGAGACGTAACTGAAACAAAATACCGATATGGGAAACATAAGGCCGCAGAGATACAAAATTGCCAAAGAAACACTGGTGAAGGATTGGTTGTTTAGTCTATTCAGCTACACTAATTTCTTTTTTAAAGTGTTTTTGCAATATTTTATAATATTTATAGCTTTCTGTAAAACATGACATGCTTAAATACACTGAGCGTGTCTAATGCACTTGCGTGTCTATTACGCCGTTACTTAACGTAGTAATTGAAGCGATGTTTATCTTTCATGGTTTAAAAATGTAGAGGAAGGCTTAATGCATAGTGTTCTTGATGAAGATCATTGAAGGGACAAAACGCGAAGATTACACCACGGTCAGTTGATTCTTAATTGACGATATTTTGATCACATTTTTCGTTGGTTGGTTGTTTTTGCTTAGCGGCATATCAACATTTATTGGTTATTTAATGCCGAAATTTAAATATTTTTGAACGCAATTTTATTTTATATACGTTGCAGATAAAAACGATTTTAGTGATACTAAATAGTCTTACTAATTAAACAATAACTAAGGGGAGAAGAGGTGGATTCATACCTTTCCGAGGGATATTTGCGTGTAAGTGAATATAACGAACCCAACGGGAATTCGAACGACTCTCCGATTAACAATTTCTAGCTATTACACCACCCGCACATCCAAGCTTACAGCGCCAAGCGGTCACCCAACTAGGTACTGACCAGGTTCAACGTTGTTTAACTTCGGTGATCGTATGGGAACCAGTATTTCACCGTGATGTGACCGTAAGACACATTTTCCGTTTTTGTTGTAGTAAAGAGGTTGAAACGACAATCAAAATCTGTTTCTGATTTACAAATACATTTCACCAGACACGTCGACCGGATGCGAGCACTAAGAAAGCAAAACACAAAATAAAAATTCATCTTCCTCGCAGGGTCTCCGAGCATCACATGCGGTCCACAAAACAGATGCCCGCAAAAATCCAAAAATGCAGTAGCCAATTACAAACATTACCCCCCCCCTCCAAGAGGCCGTCCTTGGGAGCCTTCACCTGTTGAACCAAAGATATAAAATCGGCACTACTCACCAACGTCAGGCAGTTCGGCTTCAACACACGACCGCCAGATAATCAAACATCATTGGTGTCGATTTCGACCCAGAAGAAAGGCGTACGTCACCTCCCCCTCCCCAAATGACACTCACTTGCCTTCACCAATCTGCTCCAGGCCTCTCTCTCCTCACACCAACTGTGACCTCGGGCAACCAACTCTCGACCTTATCCACAATACTCTTATAATCACTTTCCTTATCAACGGAAAGTAAAGAACCACATACGAGCAATGTTTGTCTCCTTTTACACAACCATGTACATATTCTGAATTTTGACTAATACACATCGTTGAAATCTTCACGCAGATACTTTGGTATTGATGATTTGGTTAGCAACTCGAATCAGGTAGAAATATTCCTTTTATATGTTTTTAGGTTGGCTCTAGACGGGTTCATCTTCCCAAAATGTAATTTGATATTCCCAAAAAATAGAGATTGAAATTTTTGGTTTAATTCAGTGATTGGTTCAATAATTAGGAAGTAAATCGCGTCCACATACGTTTGTTCTCGGGATCCTATACTTCCTCGAAAAATAATGAAAAGTTTTATTTGTAACATGGCGATGTCTTTATTTCTGATGTACCTAAACTTATTGTACAGAAAATCGTAACCAAAAATATAAATTTATACTAATTGAATATTGTTTATCATGGGAGGTGATTAGTCACTATAGTTTTCGGGTTAACATTTATTATGTGCCGCGCTCTGTCACCAGAACTCCGTTTTCATAGAGGGCAATCTTCTGGTAGGCGCTGGTAAGACAAAATGTGCCCCAGGACTTGTGAGTAAAGACAACTTTTGTAACATCCACTGGCTTTCTTTTCGGGGATGGAGTGAAGTTATATAACACATTTCTATACTTTGTTAGCGCTTTCTAGAAAATAAAAACTTAATTTACGTTCTTCCCACTTCTTTCTTAGCGTTTTTATCTTTTTATTATAAATGTTTGGTTAATTATTTACTTTCTACTGCCTGATACCACCAAGGTCACACAATATATTTGCTACCCCAACATAGGCTTTAAGAATTACAATAAATATCAAATGTTTGTTACAAACTTGTAAAATTCATAATATTCAACAATTCATTTTTTCCTTCCTTGTAGCAAATAACACGATCTTCATTGTGAACATTTTAGAAATCTTAATTGTGATATCAATCTTGATGTACCAATTAAGTACAGACATTTAGTAAAAATTAAATTTTTCATGGTGTCAGTTTTATTCTTATCAAATTAATGGTTTAATTTTAAATGAATATTTATCGGAGCTGTTGCACTGGATGTTACATGAATTTTAAAGATAACGATTTGCTTTAAAAAAAATCCATTCTCATTCGAATGACTGCGTTAAAAAAACAAAAACAAAAAGAAACTAAAATAACAGGTTGATTGATTTCTTAGTGGAAAATGTTTACATTAATCGGCAAAAAAGGGGAGGTAATTTTGTAGATAAGTTGCTATATAATATATATATACACGCGCGCGCACGCACACACACAAGAGAAACTATTAGGGATTCAGTAGGTAAATCTTTAAAGATAATGAAGAGACGAGCACTTGGAAAATAATGTTGCTTACATAGGTCACCATGAATACAAGTTGACATTCATAAAAATCAGACCCGATACAATAAATATGTATGTGATCACTTACCATGATGAAAAAAATGCTCCAAACTCGATAAGAAAGCAAATCATAAAACAGTAAAACACTAATATTTTAAAAAGAATTTTGATTTTTTTTTTTTTGTATAACAGTGTCGATTTTTGTAGATACGGTGGCCCATAAGGGGCGATAACTATAGTAAATTTAAAGCCAAAGTATCTAAAATCCATAAAACATTAGATTACGGAAAATATTTTCCTAAATTTTAAAGATTACTGAGTACTTAAAAATTATATATATATATATATATATATATATATATATATATATATATATATATATATATAAAAGGCGCTCATATTATATTTAACTATTTTCTTTTTTACAGATATAGCCCCGTAGAAAAACGAACATCCCTGTCATCAAGCTGACATCTTAAACAGCTACCGCCGTGTTAAAAAAAGAAAAAAAAAGAAAAGAAAAAAGAAGCATTTCTGCAATATTTTAAAAATAAAGTAAATATTTGTTTCGAATAAATTATACTTTATTTGAGGAATAGTAGTTGATTTAAAGTTTTTAAAAAATTATACTTCCAGAAGATTTTTTTAATAAAGATAAGTACATTGCGATAAGTGGGTAAAAAAAAAAAAAAAAAAAAAATTACCAGTCAATTTAATTTTGAAATAGAGCAAAGTTAAAGTATGTTGCTTATTGTAAATAATAGATTTAAGCTTAAAATAAAAATAATAGTTTCCAGAAAAGTTTTCATTTACAAAAAAAATTATTAGGTATCGCGAATCTGCGGAAGTACCTGTGTGTACGGGAGTGGGGGCTGAATTTTTGGGATTAAGAGTTATCAGTAGAAAATAACATTTCCTGCAAATAAATATACACATGCATATTGATAGTTGCTTATATATACCGCTATAATGGTTAATAATTACATTATGATTATTTGTACTTAAAAAAAAAAATTTTTTTTTACTGTAGAGATTCCATAAAATAGGCCCGAGCACACGAACACTCAATTACACACAAATATCTTTAAATCAATTTTTGACGCAATTATATTCCACAAAGCTAGTGGTAATTTAAAGTAAAAACAAAGTATTGCGAATACATTCCAATTCCGCCTGTATTTACCATCAATTTGAATCAGCTTAAACTAACAACGCAGTTTGTAGAGGAAGGGCGATAACTCCATTTACAATAAGAAGTATCCATTTTAACGGAAGACATATTACTGTGATTTAATAAAGGAAAGGACCCCCCCCCCAAATAATAATATGGATTTGTTGGCCTTATAAAGTGTAGTTTTGTTTAAGAAAATAGAAATATCCAAACATTAAACAGTTTCCAATGCCTGGTATTATGGAAAATGAGAAAAACTCATGCAAACGAAGTATTAAGTAGGAATTATTTAACCAACCAAGCATATGGATGTACACAAGGCATTTTGTCATAGTAGTGATAAATTAAGCTAGTTATCTATGAATAAAGTCAGAGGCAAGAAGATAGCATAATCAGGAGAGTTTGTTGATAGTAACTGCATATAAACATATCAGGTATTGAGTTCAATACCCGGTTAAGGTTGTAGAGAACTTTCAGAGGAAAATTAACAGGAGATAACCGACATCCATTAAACATGGTTAAACATGGTATGTGGAACTAGAACAGTCTACCCCATTGAGTGAAATAAAGGGTTAAGTTCGACATTCCAACCACCTGAAGAAGGCCGGAGCGTACAATGGCTGAAACGTAATAAATATGGCAACAAAGATGAGGACAATAGTTCGAATAATGTAAATAATGTACATAATACCTCATCTCAGAAATATAGACAGATATTGAAATTAGTCAAAAGTTGTTAGATTGCTTATCTCAAAATTTAGTTTGAAAGCATCAAAATTTGGTACTTGGCTTGATATAGGCTCTCAACAGATTTTGTGTAGTCAGTATGTTTTTATAATTGTAAAATCAGCTTTACATAAGTAAAATAAATGTCGAAATGGTATGATAAATTAGACAATAGTTAAATTAGTTGGCAAAGCAGTCATACTTTCACCTTTGAGTGAATCCTAATTCACTGAAAAGGTCTTTAATGATTTCATTAGGGTAATAATTAAAGAGTGCAAAATCACAAGTTCTCTGCCAATTCTGTCACTGCAGTTAAATTAGAAAGATGAAAAACTGAAATGAAGGAGTTACAAACATAATCCAAGAGATCTGGGTTTAACTATAGCATCTATATAATTAAACTAAGGCTTACTAACCAGAAAAATATGCTGACACTTGTATCAACAATCACTGACACTTGCTATGATTTTAATGTTGAGAAAGTATATTGATATTCAGTGATAATATGACTGACCCAGTCACATTGTAGTTAGCTATACTCTGACTTGGCTTCTAACCATTTGTTTTTTGATCAGACAACTATCTTGTAAATTTGGTAGCAAGGCTTTGAAGGAATCTTCTCTGGAATCTGTAGTTGAGCACATAGAAAAAACAAGAGCAAAAGAACTAGTGTCAAGCCCAAGCTGATGACGTAATTTATTGAATATAACTGAAGAATCCCGTGGATATTAGGATGCATCAAAAGTCAAATATGTCCAAATGTTATTAATAAACAAAATCAGTTTCAATTTCACTTGTTTACTCTGCAAAGCAACACAGACTCCTCTGACCAAGTGCTTGAGCCAGTTTGTCTCGTGATGTCACTTGACATCACTGTCCTCAGGTGCATTACCTTCCCTTATAATCACTAAGAGATTTTCCACTTTTAAGATTTTATATGAATTAAAAACTGTCTTGGTATTTCAGTACTGCCAACCTGGTTTTCAGCTAGTGACATGCTCATTAAGCCAACCACTTCCTTGCGATTTTTTTTAAAAGCCTGCCTACTTTAATATTTTCTGTTGTTTCAAGATTTTAATGTTTCTCTGGATGAATGTATGAAGTATCATTCATACTTTGACCATATCTAAAGTCTACACCATTGCTATTTTTCACTTTGGGCTATCCTTAACTTTAGGAGGCGGGGGGGGGGGGGGTTAGAGAAAGAAAATTGGACTTCCACCATGCATAATGGTAGGTGCAGGCAGCTCTTACAACTTATAAATTAGTATCAAAGTTAGCTGAAGTAGCAGTTTGTGGTGAGGAGAACATGTAAAATCTAACTTAAGTGTCTTTGTGCAGTATAACATTGCTTTAACTAAGCAATTCTCTCAAAGAAAACCGGCTGTTTAATAATTAATATCTTATGCAGAGGTCTAACTGCTAGAAAAATAAATTGAATTTTTTGAAAGAAACTTCAAAAATATTTAATTCTGGTTTCACTTTTCAGTTAAGGTTTGAGCCTGACATTGGTGCTACATTCAGAGTATTAAAAAAAAATTTCATGAAATAAGTGACCAATTCTTTAAAGCATCTACACTCAAAGATGTGCTAGGAAAGAAATTAATAGTGCTAACAGCAATATGGAGAGAAAATAAATTTCAGAAATATGTTTGCAATGATAAAATCAAAGATGTTAATTCCTTGACTAATTTAGAACAAATTAATGCAGTCATCATCAGGAGATCACATGACATTCTTTTCTCAATAGGTTTTCATCCATTTTGCAAGTGAAGAAATCTTAACCTCTTTAGATTAATGATCAAACAAAACCTTGAAAAATGATAAATGGCTTTGGCAAACACAATTATCACTTCAAATGTTCAAGCACTTATGTGTGCAACTGAAAAGACTGGTTCAATCCCAGATGTACTTGCATGGATTATTTATCCTGAAACAACTATATATATATATATATATATATATATATATATATATATATATATATATATATATATATATATATATGTATGTATGTATATATAAATAAACAAAAACAACACCCATGCAGTAATTGTTGTAAATAATTTTTTGGTTAATAGCTCAGTGGTTACAAATTTGGACAATACACAACAAGGAAGATGATGCTTACACCCCACCAAATGAAAGCATTTTAACTTCTCATAATCTTTATCAACACACAAAGTGTGTGTGTGTGTGTGTGCGCGTGCCAGGGAAATCCACATTTTTATTGAGTGATATTACACTGAAGTACTGATTTCTTGACTGATCAATAGATTAGCAATTCCTTTTTATAAAAATCTGTCTTAAGGCAGCAGTTGGATAATCTAAAAAGATGTTTATAAAAAGGAAAAAATAAACAAAAAACAAAAACACACACAGAATAATCAATGTCCAAGTTGGCAATTTATTTTTTTTGTGTAAAAATATCCTACAGTACTCAGCAGCTGTTTCTGCAGCAACTGGTCAAACAATTTGGCGGGGGGGGCAGGGGTTGGGTTTGAAGCCGAGCGCTCACCCATCCATCCGTTCGTCTGTCCGTCACAGTAGACTCATCATCCACAAGAGGAAGTACATTGTACAGATAAGATAGAAAGAAAGCTGTCAGGAACCAGCAATTGAGAAAAAGAGAAAAGTTACATTTATGTATGTTAAAGTGGGAGAGAGAGAGAGAGATGTCCTCTTTCCTTTGTCCAACATGCATGCACACACACACACATACACACCCTCAACCCAAACTGGCAGAATCTACAATTGATAGAACAAGTTAACAGCAGAGTGCCTACACCGGGGTAGAGAGAAAGTAATGGTGGGCATAAGGGTGGGGAGATTGCTGTGACTTGTAACAAGTGCAAAAAGGGAGAGAGAAAGAATCAGAAGATATGTAAGAAAAAAAAAAAAAAAAAAAAAAGTTGTTTTTTTTAAAAATAAATAAAATGTAGCAGATTTTTTTTTAATACACTGCCCCTCCCCCAATAGCTCATAAAAAAAAAAAAGAAAAAAAAAAAGGTTGCTAGTAGGAAGACTATAGGAATGGATGCATCTGAATTTTCTATTAGGTGAAATATCAGTGTGTGGGCTAAGGTACATGGGCACCTAGTAGTATCACAAGCCCTATGATGTGTTTGTATGAATGTGGACAGCGATGCGCAAGAGAATGGGAGACAGTAGTGCACAAGTGTAGGTGGACATTCGAGATGGGGATGGGGGTAGGGCAAGAGAAATAATACCTGCTCTCTTGCAATGGCAAAAATGTACATTTTTTTTTAAAAAAAAAAGGATTAACTTAGCACTCTCTCTCATATATATATATATATATATATATATATATATATATATATAGTGCATGTGGACATGTTCCTTTCAGGACAACAAAAAGGTAGGGATGCATGCATGCCACTAACACGCACGCATGTAAAAACACACACACACACACACACACACACAAAAAACAAAGAAATTCAGAATTGAAATAATTTGTTAAAACAAACAGAATTAGAAAAAAAAATATAAAGAGAAACAACACTCTTGTAGAATGGAATTGAGTTCTGATCTGTACACCATAGAAAATAAAATAGTGGGGAAGGGGGTTGAGAAGAAAAAAAAAAAAAAAAAAAAAAAAATTATAAAAGGGAAAGTTGAATTTGTCATTACTGGAGGGATCAGTTTTGGGGATAAGGTTCAGATGTGATTCATCATTTGGAGTTCTGTAATGATGCGTGAGTGTGAAGCAGCTTAGCCCAGCTCAGCACAGGCTGAACATCAGCCAAAATGTTGTGGGGGTAGTGAGGGTTGTCACAGTCACTTTGCTTAGGATGGCATCTTCTCCACAAGCGAAGACAGAAGAATCACCACATTCAGTATTGAAGAGAGGAGAATAAACCTTTTAAAAAAAAAAAAAAAAAAAAATAAAAAAAAAAAAAGAGAGAGAGAGGAAAAAAAAAAAATTCCCCACATTCCCATTACCCAAAACTCAATTTGTTTCACCCCAGCTTTGCTTTCAATTAGCATAATAAAAGATGCCAACATAGAAGTCTTGGTTTTTGTTGTCCTTTCCATATGGCCCTTTGGAAGCTGGAATTATCATATAGAGAAATAATTTGAATAATGTCACATCATCTGCAGAAACAAATCATTCCATTGACAGTAGCTTTATCGATTCCTTAGCCATTTCACTTTTTTGAAACAATTTGAAGATTTAGTTGGTAATTGATGTTTACAAGGGAGAGGTCAACAGTGGTGCACATTGAGCCAATATACACCTTTCTCTAACGCATTATGCTTGGTAAGATCATCTGACAAGATGATAAAAAAATTAAATTATTTGTCATTGTATTGTGTATGCATGTATATACATATGTGCATATATACATGTCTCTTTTGTTCTTGAATCATTTTGTTTATAAATGGGGAATTGAGGAGTTTTTTTTTTTTCTTGGTAATTCTGAGGCCCTATAATCCAGCATATAATCCTCAGGGTCCAAGGCATTAATTGCTAGATGTTATCAGTGTGAAAGAATGTCTGCCTACCTATCCATGTGAACAGGGAGAGGGGGGAATAGAGAGAGCAAAAGACCTCAGCAAATAGGTAGACAAGCACATAAGTGTGCTCTTTATTTTCTTTTATTCGGGACAGGGCAGCAGGAGCAATTGTTTTCAAAACATTTTGGTATTTGATCAGTCTATATTTTTGCCCCCATGTCAGAAATATCAGTGTTTTTCATTTTTTGTGGTGGAATACCTGGACTGTGGTCAAGAAAATATTAAAAAGGTAAAAAGAAAAATGTAAAAGATAGAAAAGAGGAAAAAAAAAAAAAAAAAAAAAATTCATTTTCATCAAATTTCATTTTGTTTTTTTGTACAAGCCACAGCCAAAGATCCTTACCACTTGGGTGGTGAGAAGCACTCATCCCGCCCGTCCCATACACTGTATGCTATGTCGCTAGCCAGAATCATCGAGCGTAAATGTTTATTGCACAATGTGAAATTCTCATGGAATGTTTCCCCTTGTCCGACTGGTTGACTTGAAGAGATTTTTTTTTCAATTTACTTTTTCTTTTTTTTATATAAAGAGAGAGAGAGAGAGAGAGAGAGAAAAAAAATTCTTCTGTCAATGTTGGTGCTACTGTGCAACTGATTCTGTTGCTGGCTGCGAGAAATGTAGCGATTCTCCTGCTGCAAGAGCATTATCACTAGAAATGTTTGAGGAGAGGGCCAATGGGTTTATATGGTTCGTCTCTAAGAAATGGTTGGGAGAATAAGTCAAGCTTATATCATCTGTTAAGTCCAGTTTGCATTTTTTGGCACTGGGGGGCTCTAAAGTATCGTTGGAAGCATCTTCATTTGGATCCAAGATGGAGATATGTGAACCAAGTTCTTTGTTGGCTCGCTTGCTGATTGGGCTGTCTCGACTGTTTATATCTATAGATGAATCACACATCTTTGGGCTGTTGGCATTGTGCAGTACATTTGTGAGGTCATTGTCGATGGTTTGAAAAGAGGCCAAGCTGTCAACCTCAACGGCTGGCTTCAGTTGATGTCGTTTCTGATCACCATAGATCAACATGCTAATGTTGGGACTGGTGGAACGGTCACGAGCTGTTGCTGGCGATGGGCTGTCTTGATCTTGATCCAGAAAGCGATCCATGTAATCACTGGAGAGAGAGAGAGAGAGAGAGAGAAAAAAATAAAAGAAACATAGCAATATAAAATTCTTCACTAAGATTTGAGATAAGTTGAAGTAAGATTAACAAGACACTGTCAAGGATGGCAATAAATACAGCAGCCATTATACTGCTGTTGCAACCAAGACAAATCAGGTAATTATAGATGAAGGGATTGATTGCCTTTTTTTTGTGTTCTATCATGGCAATTTCTTCAGCCAGCATAACAGCCTATGAATGGATTCAGATAAGTCATAAGGATAGCTTCCATCTATCAAAAATAGCAACAGATAAAACAACAATTGTAAAGATGAGTAGCAAGGTCAGAATGCAGGGAAAATTAAATTTATACCTTTTCCAAGAGTAATTTGTGTGGAAGCAGTCTTAATTACAATTTGAATTTGTATAATTTAATTTTCTTGGCAGAGAACTATTGCCACTAGCATTTTTATAACTACAAAATAATTTTTATCAATTTTACTTTCTAGGCAATCAGTAGAGAAGAGATTGATTTGTTTTTACAGCTTACCAACACTTTGTTGGGTATTTAAAACAAAAACATTTTAGATTGTTAAAATCAACTAGAATTTGAACACAGCATTCCAATTTCTCATTCGGAGCAGCTATCTATTACACTACCTACACATTTAAGAGTAGAGCAGAGAAATTATGAAAGAGGGAAACAAAGTGCACTGTATACTTCAATTTAAGAAAATAAAGGTCAGTACAATCATTTGCAGATAAAGCAGATCAAAGCATAAAACACTTACGTGATACCTGGGTGTAAAGCATATTTCTTTTTTTCTATTCTATTTTTATTAGCAAATATGTCATGTCGTTCAGTTTTCTTCCAAAGATAATAAAATTGAACAAGTTCACCAACAGACCGAGTTCGAACCTGAAAAAACAAAATTTTAATAAGGTTAAGGAGGAGAGAGAGAGATCAAAACATTGTGCCTATACAATCAGCTTTAATGTTATTGAAAAGGCAGATTATATTTGGTGCTCTAGCTTTTTCATATTGAAGGAAAGGAATGTGTCAAAATCCAATAATAAAAAAAGAAGAAAGAGAGAGAGAGAATGTTGAGTAATGGAAGTAGATAGCATGTCAATGGTTGGGGGGAGGGGGGTGAAGTGGAGGAAAACCAGTGCCCATGGTTAGAGATAATGAGAATGAGGGGAGTGGGGAGAAAGTGTACTTAGAAATATTTTGTCTTCTAGTTTTTCCTTACAGACTAAGTGTCAGAAAGTAACCAATATAGCCATACTCAATAGTTGACTGTTCTCTTATGTAAGGATTGGGCAGATTTTTCAGTTGATTTTGAAAGTAAAATAAACCATTTTCAATTGACAGCCCAAATCACAGAAAGTCACTCTTGAGAAAGAAAAAAAATGAATCTTACTTTGTTTAACTGTATAAGGTGGAAATCTTTGCCATATGTACGAAGACCATTCTCAAAGTTTCGACATTCCTCTTCTGACCACAAACTCATAGGATCTGAAAAATAAAAGTACAATCCCATAAAGAAACAAAAAAAAATTCTACACAAACAATAAAAGACATAAATAAATACAAAATCTTAGTGCAATAATATTTTCAGTTCTTTGACAAAAGTGAACAAGTAAAATCCAATGGTAGCTTTACTACGACCGGTGGGGGTGGGGTGGTGGGAAAGGTGTCTTCTTTGAATTCATAACAATGGCAGCCAGCCAATTCCATATTACAGCAAACAAAGGTGTGAAGAGGTTCATAAATAAATTTTAAAAAATACTGCAGGATAGAAAGCCATACAAAGAAAATTTTAATGTAGGCCTGTACCTTGGAGAAGCAAGAAAATTTTGTCCCAAGACGAGCATGAAAATAGTATCTCAAGAAGATAAAAAAAGAAAAAAAAAAAAAAACACACACACGGAGAGAGAGAAATGAAAAAGACATTAAGAGACACACAAGTAAATATTAATTGTGTGTGTACATGAGAGAGAGGGCAAAGAGACATGAACAGACAAAAGTGAAAAACTACATGTGAAGGAAAAAGCACCTGATTGCAGGATATTTGGAAGGTGAATTTCAGGATCAGAAACAAAAGCTGTTGGCACCAAATGCAAACAAAATCCATTGGAAATATTTATTGCAACCTTTTAAAATTGGTGGAAATTATAAAAATTTTTGTTTTGCGGAAAAAGCGTTAGAAAAGCTTGGTAAAAAATTAAGTAATTTCCTTTGATCTATTGGCATTGATTAAAAATGGCAGTGGAGATAGAGTTATGAGAATGGAAAAGTCAAAATAAATGGTACACATTTTATTTTCACATGCCCTATAAAGCAAAAGAATGCTAAAACTGACACATTGCATGAGATTTTGTTGAAATGACATGAAAAATTCAAGATTGGCAAGTAGACGTGAACAGAAACAGAAGCTAAATACCTATCAGTAACATGCAATTTTTATATTAAAAATTCTTCAGGTGAAAGTAACATTCTCTACTCAGATTATTCCATTAGTCTATTGACTTAAAGCAGGCCTTTAATTTCTTGAAATGATGACTTGCCTTAAGGGATTAATTATTATTTTTTAATTCTTATTATTCAATCAGTATTTTGGACTAGCATCCCCATTCTTGTTTTTAGTACATTTCAGCTGATGCCTTCTCTTCTCAGATGCATATATTGAGTAGCAATCAGGGAGTTTTGAACAGAATCCTTAAGAAACAAGAACATTAAGAGGTCTAAAGGAACAATAATTTGACAAATAAGGTTCATCTTGTGCAAGTGTGGAATTTAGTACCTGTGGCAGGTAATGTGTGCATGTGCAAGTACACACTGGCTTAGTGGAGGAGTAGTGCAACCCCTTAATGGAGATAAACTAGAAGAAGAGAAGAATTGCAATCTGTAAGCATCATTGAATAATGAGTATAAATTCTACAAAATACCTACTTACTCATTTATGCAGGGATACAAATTAACCAATTTTAAAATGTTATGAGAATTGCAATAATGGCTTCCTGAAATATCCAATACAGATCAGAAAAAAAAAAAAAAAGAAAAGAAAGCATTTCTAAGATGCAGTTATTTTTCTCAAAGTCAAAAGGTTTCATTTTAAAATTGTTTTTTTTAAAAGCCAAGTGGTATGATGCATAAAATCTAGATACAACTTTGGTTTTGTGGTACAGTGTCAACAGTATGAGAGTCTGCTAATATTTATGTAAAAAAAAAAAAAAAAATCCTTGTAAATCTGCTTGTCAGAGAAAAGTGTGGGAAATTATTTTGAAAAGATTTGTTTGCAGTAATTCATTTCATTTTCATCCTAATTATTTCTACATGAGAGAAAAATTAAAAACCAAGATCACAATTAAAAACAAAACAAAAAACAAACAAACAAAAAAAAAAAACAACAACTTTGTACCTGAATTTTGTAGCAAATCGATATAACAATTACAAATGCATCAACATAAAGGGGATTAACAAAAAGAAAAGTTGAAAGTGCCTGTCAAATGTTATGCCTACTTAGGGTTGAGGATGATGGGAAGGCATGGGTGTGGCATCAAAAATGGAGTGTACTTAAGTCTTAGATCCAGTCAAAATTGGTAATCACACAGAAACAATATTTGAGATTTTAACAGTTGTCAGCATGGCTGTCAGTGTTATGAGAGAATAATAATCAGGCCAGGAAAGCTACCATCAAAAAAAAAAAAAAAAAAAAAAAAAAAAAAAAAAAAAATTTTGTCCAATTTAGACACCTGACAAAAGCAATTTAAAACTGACAAGCAGTTTTGTCTTAAGTTAAAGAGATTGGTTCAAATCTTGAAGAGATTTTCATTAAGAGAATGAAGAAAAATTAGTTATAAAAGCTGATCAATGTTAAAAACCATTTACAACTTGCCAGCATTTTTAAGGAGAAAAGTGATTTTAAGTTTTACTTCTGGAATTTTGCTTATTTGAATTTAAACTGTAAAAAGTGATCAAATACCAAGAAAGTTTGTATATCCTAGGCAGATGCCCAGATTAAAAGTAAAAGATTCAATTAATTTCATTGAAAAACTTATGTTTTGATTAAAAAGTTATCACCAAATGGACAATGTTCAGAAAAATATGCCACAAAGAAAAAGAAAAATTCAACAAGATTAAAAGAATAGATGTAAAATGTTTTTTTTTCCCTCTTCTTTCAGATGTTTCTGGTGATTGGTAAAGTATCCCTAAGTAGCAATTGGTTGCCAACACACGCACACACATCCCTTCAAGTATGAGAAAGCCAAGTTGCCAGTACCTATACTTCTGGTAGATGACAGCGTGGAGTCTAAGTCAAGGTCCTCTAGCGTTGATAACAACATGTCACAAGATGATTCTTTTTCTACAAAAGAAGTTTACAGCTACAGAATGAGGCATCAAACTGGTTGATGGGATCACCCAAGCAAACAGGCATTACAGAAGGCTTCAGGCAGCAGCAGCAACAGTTATATCACATTAGTCATTGTTCTACCTATGCTAACAAGATCAAGACCAACTAAGCTGGCAAGTTAAAAAAAGCAAGTCATCAAGTTATAGCCAAAAAGGAAAGCTAAAGTGGAGTTTATAGAATGGGAACCAAGTGTTTATGTATCTAGACCAGCTCTGATAAGAGAAGAGAAAAGTGTCGAAGATAGATGCAAACTGATTTTATGTGTTTTTAACAGAAAGAATGGAAAGTATGATAATCTTGTTGGTGTAGAAAGTAAGAGACTGTCAGCAGAAAGGCCTTGTAGCAAAGACTTAATAGAAATAAACAAAGATAGATAGAAAGAGAAAGTCAATAGTAAATGCTGAACCAATTGAGAATTGGAATGGTACAAGGTGCATAGAAATGAAATAAAAATAATAGATGTATGTCGTTTATGAATGGTGTTGAGCATATCTAAACTGAATTAGCTTGGTTAACAACAAAAATTGAAATTACATTTCATCAAAAATGATGAGAGTTATGAAGAAAAACAATGTTTAGAGATAGCAGAACTTCAATTGGTTCTTAAATGTATATATAAATTACTGATGAAACAATGGAACAGCAGAAAAGGGGTCATGGTGATTCATTCCAATCCAAGGTTGTAGTTTATGGAATTGGGGAGTTTATTATTGTTAAGAAAAAGGAAGAGGACCATAAAAAAAGATGCAGCAACCAAATCTGGTAACAGAACAAAATTAGTCAGCAAATCAATAAATAATATGCATGAAAATTGTACAGATTTGATGAATTACAAATTAATCATTTACTAAAAACATTTCAAGCAAATAGTTACTATTTTACTAAGTTTCTCACAATATCTTACAACTTTAAATACAACTAATGTTACTTTAAAAAAATAAAATTTTGAAGCAGAAGGAAAAATATCTATCAAATAATTTTCTTTAAATTCTAAAACTTCCATTCCACAACCAAAAGTACAAATTAAGTGCATAAAACAACTGGCCTATGAAAAATTATTTTTTTTTTTAAAAAAATAAAAATGACATTTTCATGAAAAAGAAAGCAGAAAATGGAAAGAAAACTTACCAGTTGGAGAAACAGCTTGCATTTTCCGCCGCCGTAAGGCTTCGTCTGTATTGTGTCCACATTGTAATAATAAGTAAAGTGCCTAGAAACAAAAAGTATTAATGAAAATAAAATCAGAGTGTGAAAGGAAGCAAATCAAGAATTGATAAAAAAAACAAACAAAAAAACCTCATAGTAACTATCAAATAACTAAGTTATACAAATTATATTTTGCAAACAAATTTTCTAAATTTTATACACGTCTTTATATTGTTTTCATTCATTCTTTTTCAAAAGAATTTAAAAACAATATGGCAATAATACCAAGACATCATTAACAGTAGTGACATTGCCAGCAATAGTTGCCCATTCCCCCGAACACAGTAGATCTCATTTTGTTTGCAGGTTTTCAGTATTTGTTTCTTTTCTTTGAGTTTTCTTTAGCCAACCAATAGAGAGACCCAAAAAGTGACAACAGTTTTTAAATAAGTCATAGCAGAAATACTTTCTACATTAATAGGAGTTTATATTAGGATTACTACTATTTAGCTTTGTGTATAACACAGTAATCAGCCATATCAAATAAGAAATTGACAAACAGCCAATAATTGTTATTTACTTGCAGACTATTGTCCACATCTTTATTGTTATTATGTTTCAACCATTGTGGTCCCTGGCTTTCATCAGACACTTGTTTATCTGGGTAATCTTCAAGGAATTTTGAACTGAACCCTTTTATTTAATTTACCCCTGTAGATTAAACAAAATGGTTCAATTCAAAGAGTGTTCTTGTTCTACAGATCATGTCTAGAGATGTCTTGTCTAGTTCTTATTTAGTAATGCTTAGTTATTGCTTGCCCTGTTTTTACCAAGTATGCACTACCTGGCCCAGGGATTGAACTCACAATTACTATGTCACCAAATTCACAAAATACTGCTTTAATCCATTAAGCTATTGTCCTGAGTGAAGCACTTAGAGCCTTAAAGCTAATCTGTCTGTTGATAAAACTGCTGCTGCTTTAGTGCACTTACAGATTCTCTACTGTTGCTGCTGTAGCCTTACTGTCAGTTCTCTTTTTATTAGCAGCTCCCAGAATGTATTTCTATGCTAGGTCTAGTAAGGAGGTCCTCAGACTAACATAGCCGATGATTCTTTCAGATGTCTGACTCTGGTGTCTAGGATTTTTACTTAATTCCACAAAGGTAATGACTACCCTTTTCTATCCATACCGGATTTCATTGTCTTACCCCTAAATTACTGCATTTTAATGCCTTAATTTTAAGGGGTGGTTAGTTTCACTTTTATGTTCTTTGCCACAACTGCAAGGAATGGAATACACAGAGTTCTTAATCATACACTTCTGTGTTAAGCTTTATCTTAGCAGAAATTTCCCTGTAGGATTGAGCTGTTTCTACATATTGTCTTTATGCTGTATGGACCACAGATTTGAATTTTTTCCCAATAAATCTTTGATGCAAGGAAGACAGATTATGGTGGTTTTCCAGTCATCCTCCTTGACTCTTCCATTTATGCCTGGAGAAGCTGTTATGGCGGTATGATAGTTGTTATTCTCAAGTCTACATCATATGTGGGCCATGCCCTTTTGGTACAAGCCTGGGTCGCCACATTTTTACACATAATTAGAGAGTGAGACTATGAAATTAGGCATGGCTGATCATATATGGAAAGGAAAAGAGTAGTTATCAAATTTGTGGAATTAAGTCAAAAGACAGAACAACAATGGAGAGTCAGACATTTGAAAGGATCAGCATATATGCTAAGCTATGAGTTCTTTAGTAGGCCTAGCATAGAAACAAATACAATATGAGAGCTGTTAATAAAGAAAGAAAATATAGCAAGGCTTCAACAGCAGCAGCAGCAGAAAAGAGAAATCTCTGAATGCAATCAAACATAAGCAGTAGTAATCTCAACAGCAGGTAGGTTAGGTTCAAAGCTCTAAGTTCTCCACTCAGGATTGTCCTATAGGACAATAGCCTAGTAGATTAAAGCATTGGCACGTGAATTTGGTGATGTAGTAATTGTGAGTTCAGGGTTGAGCAGTGGAAACAGGATGAGCAGTACTTTAAATAAGAACTAGATGAGATATCACTCGACATGTTCAGTCTGTGAATGAAATAAAATGTTCAGTTTGAAATTCCCTGAAGGCTACATGAATCAAGAAGCAGCTCATGGAAGCTGGAGAACATAATGGCTGAAATAATATAATAAAGATTAGGGCAATAGTTTGCATGTAAATAATGATAACTCCGCATCCAAGAAATTCAAGCTATAATTCTGTGTTTTGATTGAAACGAACCATCATATAGGAATTGTCAGAATAAAGATAATTCAGGGCAATTTGAAGAATATGATAAAAGTCTGGAAACTTGTTAACAATTAAATGAACTTAGAACTACATGAGCTTATGCATACTATCAGAATAGTTTATTAATAATTGACGGTTTACCACATTCTAAATTACCACTCATCATTTTGATATATTACAAAACTTAGATTTCAGAACAAGAATAAAATATTAATACCTGTTCATCATCTCTGATATGATTGCCTGTTGGTACTGTATTCACTCCGACTGCATTTGACATATTCTGTGCATGGAACTGTTCAAGATAAGTACAAACTGGAAAGAAAACAACTTTTTTGAATGTGTGCGCATGCATTCATATATCTAGTATTTTTATCTACAAGAAGCAAACATCACTGATAACTAAGCCAGACCAGAGCAACTGATAGCATGAGAGTACTAGAATAATAATAATAAAAAACTTAGAGAAAGTAAAATTGTAACTAAATTTTGAGTTAGGTACAATATGTACAACCCAACAGCTAATAGATATTCTGATAAGATTTTTAAAGGCTTTGACCAATTTGTGATGTAGTAACACTCATACCAGTGTATCATCTGTGTTTGAGGTTTGGATGGTGGTAAGATTGAGGGTAGTGATAGAGTCCAGTTTAAGGTGTCATGCCATGGAGATGCATTCTGGTTGCATTTGCTTAATTACAGTCATTGGAGAGGAGTTGGATCATGAGTTTTTGAGAGGCCAGATAATCATTTCACAAATGTAAAAGTGGTTAAATTAACATTCTTACATCTATAGACTAGGTTCTGGATGGTTAAGTAGTACAGAGAATCTGTAAAGACAACAGTAGCAGTCTACAGAACATCCACAACACAGATTAGAGCAAATGTGGCCTCAAGAATGTTGGGAGAAACCATTCAGAATAGTTTATTTGCAACAGGAATATAGGCATGTGTGCTTCTAATTAGACTTATGCTACAACATCACTGTACACGTCATCACTGGTGTTACAAGTATTACCTGGGGTACTGAATGGCACTTTGTGGGGTTCAGTGATGAGAGTGTATTCCACTAACATGCAAATAATGGAATTTTATATATGCAACAGGCCTGCACAATAATACACTCTGAAAAATATTGTGCAGGCCTGTTGCATATATAAATTTCCATTATTTGCATGTTGGTGGAATACACTCATCACTGAACCCCACAAAGTTAACTGTTTGTTTAATCTTAAATTGAAACATTTTAGGTATTGCAATTTTATTTTCCATCTGTGTATTAAGATGGAGTCAAGTGTGAAGCATAATCTAAACTAAATGTCTGTAGCTGAAGAGTTGAAAATTACTATACACAATTTCATAGCAGCATCAGAAAAATAAAGATATTAACCTTCATTGTCTTCCAATTTGCTTGGATCCCATAATAAACGATCTTCATTTTCATAGGCTGTGAAAAGAAAAAAAAAAGTGCATGTTAAATGTAAACACAGAACACATCTACAGTTTTTTTTTTCTCTACAGGTTTAAGAATGGAAAGAATTTTAATCTTGTTGAAATAATAAAGCTAAGTTGTTAACATCCAATTACAAATTTCATTTTACCAACTTTAAATGCAAAGCTTAAGTGAATGAAATGCGCTTAATAAACTAGTGGTGAAAATAAGCAACATAAGCTATAAAAAAAAAAAAAAAAAAAAATTTACTCACCTGGAGCATCACCATATTTACTAAGGCCTTCAGGAACTTGTGCCTGATAGTCATGTCCTACTTGAATTACCTGAAAGCGGGGTGTAAAAAAAAAGAAAAAAGAAAGAAAGAAGAAATCCATCAATTTCAACAGCAGTATAATATATATATATATATATATATATATAAATAAAAGTGCTGAAAAGTTATCAGCTTGATGTATTGTAAAAAAAAATAAAAAATGAACAGACTTTAGTGATTTTTTTTTTTTTTTTTTTTAAATTCCTTCTTGATCATTAGTCAAACTGAGGACATTTTAGCACTCCCTTGTAATTTAAGACAGATTAGATTATTTTATTTGCTTTAAAATTAGGTAAATATTTAGAAAAAAAAAAAAAAAAAAAAAAAAAAAAAAAAATATCCAGTCAAAACCATTCACTTATTTCTTTGTTATCAAAATACCTTTATAAATTTGGAAAAACTGAGTAAATTTACCTTTTTCCAATCTTCTTCATTTTCTGGTTGATAATCATAATCTTCCGGATCATCATCTTCACTTCCTGTCTGGCTGTTCGCTAAATATGAAAGAAATTAAAAAGGAGAGACAAATAGTTTGAGTTTTGATGAGAAAAGTCTAATATAGGGGGTAAGGGTTGGGCGTTTATAAACCATACAATGAAAACAGCAGTTTTACACAGAAATGATATCTTTTGGAGATCATTCATTTTTGGATAAAAGGATTAGTTAGGAAAATGATGAATTTGTATTTTAAAGCTAACATGCTTCATAATAGGGAAGGAAAGAAAAGGTCAGTGAGTGAAAAATGTAATTTCAATTCTATAATGTTTTCTAGAAATCAGTTTATTTTCACAATTTATCAATTTTGGAGATGTTATTTTGTACTAGCAGATACATGTTCCAAAAGCCAAAGACCAACCAAAAGCAAATTCTTAAGGGAATCTTGCACAAGATCTTTGTAAATAGAGTGCACCAAGTTAGTCAGCACTATGATATTAATTGTTGCTTTATTTTAGCTATATTCAAAAGAGACCAAGAACAAGGAAGGAATGAGAGAGAGAATGAACTTACATCGTAAGAGCCTGGCTGTCTGTGATGAAGTAACACTGTCAATGAGATCATTTACATTTGTCTCTTTGTCATCTTCATCACTGTTAGAAAGGAGGTCACGGGCAATCTCATCTTTGTCAAGGGTTAAATCCTGATTGCTGAGAATCTCTTCTTCACTGCTTGACCGAGTATCTTGCTGGAAACAGTTGGATTCTATAACTGTCTGGGTTGTATCATAGCCATACATAGCCAATAAATCATCCAGAGGCATCTCCCCTTCCTGAAAAGCCAAAGAAAATGGAAAAAAAAAAAAAAAAAAAAAAAAAAAAGAAAAGAAAAGAAAAAAAAAAAAAGGAAGCCAGTGATGAAAAGAGTAAGAATTAAATGGTAAGATACAACAAATAAATTGAAATTAAGTTATTCTTTTTGAGAGAAATGCTAATTAATAATTAAAACCAGCCATGAGAGAGACGTGCACACACACAGTCAGGCATACTTGTCCACATTTGTAATAATTTAAATGAAAAATCACAGATTAGAAATTAATGAGAGAGAGTGTGTATATATCTTAAAAGACTTGGGCTCGGTGGCTAGGATCAAAGTGTAGTATCTGTACTTTGTGAGCTGCCAGGTCGGGTGTCTGTCGAACTCTCTGCTTGCAGAGAGGAACCCAGACGAAGCTCCGCTGAAGGGTAGGGTTTCATTGGGGGAGGTTGACGGAACTGGCTGGCCTCGGCGGGTTTGGATGGTTATTTATTTTTGGCTGGGCCTACGGGCTCAGAGATACCCACATTAAAAAGGCTTTGTGCCACATTTGATCCCCGTGGGTGGATTGATAAATACCATCTTAAAAGACTTGACAGAGGTAAATTCTTATATTGTCTGCTAATTTTGTTACACTATCAGGTCATATTTAGCTGATGGACAGAACTAAAAGAGGGATTTATATCAATTTTGTTTACATAGTATAATCTTTTTCTTAAGACCAAGCATCCTAAAGAAATATTCTGAACTAATTTGACAAATCCTCCATTCTGAATAGGGTTATATTGGGCAAGGGATGAAAAATTGCCAGAATTTAAGACAGCACTAAACTTAACATTTGGGGAAAGATGGGGAAAAGAAAAAATAAATAAATAGAGGTAACAACACTGACCAAAGCTAAAAGTAGATCATTTATAACATTACTCTTGTAATTTCATATCATGGTGGTCACTTAAACAGCTAGTAAAAGATAACTTACATAGGAAATCAAGAGTTGGTTGCTGAAAAGTAATGGCATTTTTTTGCCCAGCAAACCAATACACACACACACACACAAGCAATCAAATATTTTGGTCACTAAAAAAGCAATCTTATTGGTCAGCATAAGTTATTAAAAATAATGTATGGATAAATCCAGCTTTATTCAATGTAGATGACTGAAACTTTATCTAAATTTCTAATTTTTGTGTTTCAGTCTACACTTAATGAATAGGTTATCTGAGAGTTTATACATGGGATTTAATTTTTTTTTTTCAGTCAATTTCTATATTTAAAGAAAGCAATTAAATTCATTTAAGGCATATTGCTCCCTGAGGAAAAGTCACAAAACTTTACTAAAAAGTAAAAAATAGTTGTCAAGTTTTCATTTGACATTTAAGAGTAATATCTGCACATTGTCAAGATTGCAACATATGTAAAGTGCATTCTGAGCAGCCTTAGTAGGTATTTTTTGCTGGATACTGGATTTCTCTAATTAAGACTGAACATCAAATACAAATTTTGTCTGGAAACCAACAATGTTCTAGCAAAGGCCTCCTTGTTTATTATATTTAGTCAGAAACAAATTCAATGAAAAAATTACAACATTAAATTTTCTCTAGCAATAAAGAACGCAAATATCCAAATTTGATCATTTTTATAAATAATCAGTATGGCTCCTTTAGGATGGGTTGTTGGTGTCAGAAATAAATCAAGCTTTAAGTGGATAATCAGAATAAATCAAAGACATCGGTTTTTATGTTAAGATGACTTAACATGAGAATAAATAAAAATGGGAGATAAGCGGATAGGGCAAGAGTGAGCAGTAGAGAGAGAAAAAAAAAAAAAAAAAAAACTAAGTCAGTTAATCTTTAAGATAACATCTACCTAGAAATAGGTAATGCTGTTATAACAAATAGTCAATAAGCATTGAAAAAATAAATTGGAGGTGGGGTAGATCAAGAAATATAACACTGCTGGGGGTGTAAAAAGGAGTCCTTTAAAGTAACAAGTTGCTGGTAACCTCTATGATTCTGCGAATTTATAAATTGTGCAATCTTATATGTTTTAGCATTATATTATTGTATATATACAGAAAGCATTTAGAAACAAATTTAAGAACTTTTAACTTTATTTTATTGCACAAAAAAAAAAAAAAAAAAATTTTGGAAGAATAGAATTCCTCTCAAGTTATTTGTAATTGTTTTTATTTGCATCTCCATATGAAAAGACTAGTCAATGTTCCTACCAAGTGATTAAATCTGCTAACAATACATATTAAGTATATATACCTTAAGTCATCTGAATGAGTTTGGCAATTTATAGAATTGACATTGAATTTAGTAGAAATCAACCACTTTACATACATTTTCAAAGCAAGATTTCAAGGAAGTAGCAAATTTCAAGAGGTTCTTAAAATTTATAACAGTTCAGGCAAATTTACAATTCAATAAGACCCAGTACTAATTAAAGAAATATCTTGTTTCTAAAAATTTGCCAACCTAAAGCTATGCTCTTTTATATTAATTGAAATAAACCTACTTAAGCCTTTAAAATGGTGGATTAATTGGAAGCAGAAAACAGTTTTATTAAAGACAAAAAGGTAAGACTAATTTGATTCAACTTATTAGGTTGATAATGCTCATTAACATCAATTTACTCAGGAGAGAGAGAGAAAAAAAATGAATGTGGCAAAATTGAGTCATACCATTTATATATTTAAATCAATTGCTACCAGAATTAAAAACCTTTACTCAAATGCACCATTCCGAAGTTGGAATAGTCAGTTTAGTATATAAATTTTCCATCATCTGAAAATGAAGTGCCAAATAAAAACTATTTGAAAAGAATAGAGGTTCTTCATTTTCAGAAATTACTAAGGAATCAATTGTTCCAATTCATCTATTCATCCCCAGGCATGCTATGTCACTGGCATTGAGGTGGTAACATCACAGAAATTATATCAAATATTTATCTGCCATTATTACTATTTAATCAGAGTACAAGATTTAAAATATTCAACAAAAGCATTTGAAGATGAGCTTCCAGTGATAAAATCTATTGTCAGTGAACAAAATCACTTATATTTTGAAGTAAAGGTATTCATCAAAGAATAACTTAATTGTGAAATCATTTTACAAAAATATTGATATACGTTAGGTTAAGAATGCTCTACTTTTGGTACTATGTAATCCTGTACTACCTGTAATGTTATCTGGAGAAGAAATTGGTGTTACCATAGATATAATTAAGAACACAGCATGACATTTATAGGGTCCTATATTATGGGATCATCAACAATTTGAAGAATAGATTCATTTTAGTGTGGTAGTCAATGATTTTTTTTTAAAACTGATAGTTTTGGTTAAGGATGCAAAGTTTCACTTATAAAGTCATTGTTTACTACAATAATTTCAAAGATTCATTTTTCTAAAGGCAAATTTTTAGTTTGTAAACCGAATGGTTATCTATTGAATTAGAGAATGGAACACCAACTCCTTGTCTACATATTCTGCAGTGAAATATTTAAAATACCCAGGCACAAAAGAGGATTCATTAAATATTTTGCCATATTTGAAAACTTCAATGAAATCGAGAGCAAAAACAAGTTTTAAGTTAAATGTACATTACCAAAGATGTAAGCTAAGAAGAATTGATTTTTTTAAATTTGCTTATTATGGCTTGTCAACCATTTGTGGGTTATTTAAAACCTAAACATTTTGAATTGTAGGAGGTCGCTTACAGTACCTGGAAATCACATGTGGTCCTCCATCTAAGTACTGACCAAGTTCAATGTTGCTTAACATTGGTGATCGAATGGGAGCCACTGTTTTTAGTAGGATTTAATTGTAGGCAAAGCTAAGGAGAAGCTTAAATCTTTAGTTTAAATTTTGAAAAGTCTCCAGAACTATGCATTTCATGAATAAGCAACAGATTATTCAAGAAATCTTTGGATTTAGCAAATCAAAACTTTGGGGAGAAAATAAAAAAAATTTCTGAAATAAATTTTAAGCTTTCATTTTTGGTCAAGTAATGACATTTTTTTTTTTTTTTGTAATATTTTAATCCTTTATATACAGACAAATATATAAACAGATGCAAAGATTAACAAATATCTAAACAGAGGGCCAATAGTTAGATTTGAATTTATAACCAAATTAGAATCACCCATCAAGTTTTAACAATATGCTATTCATATTGATTAATTCAAGCAAATTGTTTTTGCTTATATTAAAATCAAAGACCACTTTGCAGTGTTCAATTGTAAGTTTGGTAAGAAGCAAATAGAGTCACTCAATTGACTGGGAGGTGAAAATCTGGTCTAAATATTCAAATACAAGGACATACTACCCACCCATTCATTTATGTACCTATTTAACATTAGTCTGTACATTAAGGAAAAAAGTTATCAAATAACTGACTGAGCAATTGAAAAAAAAAAAAAAAAAGAGGAGAGAGAGGGGGAATTAACAGTACCCACTACCACCACCACCAGCAGCATTACAATTGCCTCAAAATAACAGTTTTTAAAGTAATAATACAGATGGTGTGAAAAGTAGCTGTGATAATTTAGTGGACAACACTCATACATTCGGCAAACACCCACCACCAGCCTATGTTATGTCATATGGTGTAGTAAAGAACAAAGCAGTGAGACAAAAATGGTATAAAAAGGCAAGAGGACACTCACACAAAATATGGGCATTTCTATAGCACTTTCTTACAATCACTGTCTCACATGCAAACATTTCATTTTAATGTAATAACAGAGTGCCTCACAAGCTGCATATGACATATCATAGGAGGATTTCTGAGCAACAGGCTGATACTAAGGTCGCAAAAGAGATCTCAATTTTTGTCAGATGAGAAATTGAGAGAGAAATTACCTTAAAAGCTGTATTTTGGCGGTCAATTTGTCCTTTCCCATGGCAATGGACAGGTGTCTGGTAATAAATTTGGTATAAATCTATTCGGTTTTCAACACTTCAACAAACTGCTTTAGACAACATTACAGTGACAACGAGTGGTTATGGATGAACAATGAGCAGAGGAAGAAGAAAAGTGATGTCAAGTATGTACATGGTTGTCATGCAGTACACAATACTATGGCTACTCTTTTCAGTTAGTCAAAGCTAACAGTACTCTGCATAAAATACGCAGTAACACTAGACAATCTTTTGTAGGTACAAAAATATAGCTTCAAAGAAAAGTCAAATATCAACTAGATTTTTCTCAGCTTAAAAAGGTAAAATATTCAATACTTTGCTAATGAAAATAACGGAATCAGATTTTAATTAACTAGCCACTGTGATTACAAAACGTTTAAGAAATTTGTTTAAATTAATAAAATGGAATGTTTGACTGAGAAAAGTGGCTTCTGAGAAATATTAAGCAAAATTGCAATAAAACATCAAAATATCAAGAAAAATATTTTTAAAGTTATCTTTTGCAAAATGAAAGAAAAATGTTTCAAAAACCCTAGTCTAAGATAAATGCTATCTCAATGCAGTGTATTGTCTAAAGATACTATTTTGTTTTATTTCTTGTATTTGTTTTTAAATCAAGAAATAAACTGATAAAAACGTAAAACCCTGAATGGTCACTTTCAGCTGCCTGGAATATCTCAATTTGAAATGGTAACAAGCAATTCAAAATAGCAGATTTTATAGAGTTTCAATGAGAAAGATTTTCTCAAAGGAAAATAAGCACATTAATATTACAAGAGAAATTAAACTAATAATTTTTTTTATTTTCAGTATAAAAATACAGACATTAATAATTTACTGAAACTTTTTCAGATTTGTAAATAAAATAAGTATAGAATGTGCAAGTGAGTAAAATAGCAGCAGCATTAAAATACACCAAGATATTTTTTAGCATTAAATAAAAGCATTTCTGTAAAAGGTCACAAAAACAAGGTGTGATGGGAATCTTAGGGAAGTGTGGCTTAAGAAATGCAATGGAACCCAGAACCTTTGAAGAGAAAAAAAAGAAATAAAGTGGAGCTTTGAAATTAAAGTAATAAATCACTTTAGAACTAAGGGTTTACAAACATTTACAACAGCCACCTCACTAATTTTACCAGAATTAGTCACTTTAGTGGTTGATAAGTATTTACATTAATACTATAGTGGAAGTTAGTGTTAAATATATATATTTTTTAACAAAGCAGTAATAAAAGCTTATTTTATTGGCTTCATTTTTTGATTAGTGAAAATTAAAAATGTTAATGAAAAGTGATTCAGTTTTGGTGATTTGAGTAGTGAGGGATATGGAAAATAAAACACTTCTATTATGGTTTTTATTCTAAATTAAAATTTAGATCTGATATATGTGAGGGACCCCAACTTTTAAAAAACTGAAAATATTTAGATAAAAATTTTTGTAAAAGTATTTTATGAATATGAAATGCTTTAAAAGTTAAAAAAATATATATACATTTTTATTAATTGCTAAGAAACAGGCCCGAATTTAATTTGAAAAAAAAAAAAAAAAAACAAAAACAAAAAAAAAAAAAAAACTTTTAAATATATTTTTTTTTATTTTATTTTCAAATAGATTTTATAATGATTTTAGACAATATTACAAATTTTGAATTTTTCACAAAATAGCAAAAATCCAAACTTTGTTATAACAGAAATTGCCAATTTTATTAGAACAAGAAAGAAAAACAGATTTTTTTTTACTATTACTAAGAATATTCAGTTTATTGCAAGATTTATACAAGAATTTTTTTTTATAAAAGGGATACAGAATAATGAAAATGTTAAATGCATATGTGCTGCCTATTTAATTGATCATGGTTATCCACAGCACCTAGACACTTATCAGCCATATGCATTTTTCTGAATGCAGTAAGTAAAAAGGGAGAACAACAAGTGGTAGGTACTTTACAGCAATGAGAGGTCAAATATTTCTTCCATTTGTAACAAGGACAGCAACAAGTTAGAAAAGGGAGATCAAAAACAAATGGAGATTAATTTTTTTTTTTATCAAAACAGGAGTATTTAGTTAAAAAATTCAATAAAGTACATTAAAATCTTAAAAACATGTAAAATACAAGAGAAATGCAATGTTTTGTGCATAAAACAAGAGCAAGGAATCAATAACAGCATGCACCATTAACTAACAATTACAAAAATAAAAACATTTCTATAAATATATATGTATATAAACTTTATGAAAATTACCAAGGTGGGTCCTATTGGGCTCAGCAAAAGTAAAATTTATATTTATAAATCTCTAAAAATTTCATTTATAAATTGAGACAATTAGAAGAATGCAGGTGAAGAAACAGTGTAGGAATAAATAAAAATGATGTGATGTTTATATCAATAATAGTTTCCAGTAAAAAGGTGAAATTTAGTAAACCACTTCAATAACCAAGTGCCAAGCTAACAATTTAGGATAGAAATAATATTGGCATACAGATTCAATGATGTGCCGAAAAAAGGGATTCATTTAATAACCTTTAATTAAAAAAATTTGTAACAGTTGATAATATATACAATTCCTTTCCTAATCAAATTAATTGTATATGTCTGCTACCAGTTTATAAGTTACAGAACTTCAATAGCAAATAAATGTGTGATCAATGTCATTATTTATATTATTTACCCACTTTCATTCACCATGTGGAGATGCTGATATAAGTGCATGCATGCAGAAACAGCAATAAACTTGGGACTAGAGATATTTTAAAATGTAAATACTCAAAGTGACCCCTCCCACTTTTTTAGAACAGCTTCATGTCAATAAATGTGCAATACAAAGCAGTCATCGATGGTAGCACTTACATGCTGTACAACCTCTCCCTTTAGTAAAGAAAAAGGGACTGCATTTTAATGTTGTAATGGGCAAAAAGTAATAAGAATATATATAAGAGAGAATAGAAAAAGGTAAGCATTATACAAGTTTGTATAAATCAATTCTATCCAATGTAAAGAAAGAATACAAGATGTTGTAGTTTATAGCTTGCTATACTGCAAATTTCATGATACAAAACAGTTGTAATTCATTAACACTATTGAGCTATTGACAGTAATTTTTAAGAAATTACTGTTGAAAAGCAGAATCAAACACTGGAAACAAAGATTTTGTTACTGGAGCAAAGGTGTGCACTTTTTATTTTACAGATTTGGCATCAGAATTGTTCTAGCATGTTAGAATTTGGCGCCATGTGCATCACTGAAAGATTACGTTATAGTAATTACATTGGCCAACAAAAAATGTCTCTTACCCACATGAATGATGATATAATAAACTAAATCAAGTACATTGATTCTGAAGCTATTCTCAATATGGTCCTAAAACATCAGGTATTTCAGCTGTACATAGGTAAATAATGTGTATGCTGATTAGATCTAGTCACAAATGTTCTACCATGTCTTATAGCCAATAGCCCTTTATTGGAAAGTCCAAGTCTTTTTAGTAATTTCTGTCCTTCTTCCTTAAATTTGGAAGGTTAAAAATTTATTTTCAATTGTATTGTGCATCTACAGAAATTAAATTAAAAAATTACTATTTATATTTTTTTAACCTGACAGAGTCAGCAATCTTAAACTCCACTTGAGCTGATAGATTCATTTGTTACATGTACAGAACTTTCTTGGGTTTCATAGAACTGAAAAAATATGGCATGTTGGTATCTCTTAAAATGCTTTCCTGCATTCATTTCTCATTGACCCCCCACCCTACCCTATTGGGTTTGGGTGCTGTAAGCAATGAGCATGGCAAGAGTTTCCCCTAAATCTAAAACATGGACTTGAAGTATCAAAGCAAGTTTAATCCAAATATGATGGTTGTCAGTCTTATGACAGGAAATGAATGCAGTGCACAAGTGCAAGAGTTTCAAATATTTCTGATATCTGCAGAAATTAAGTGAATATTTTATATTGTGTTATTTTCCATCATATAAATTTTCCTGCAATGTGAATGTTACTCTTTAGCATTATACAGTATAAACACCTGGGCTATAAAAAAAAACAAAAACAAACATATGCTGGAACAATGCTTTAGGATCAGCGTATTGCTTTTAGTCCAACACAGTATAGAACAATTGGTCTGTGTAGCAGGTATACAAAGTTTTTTTTGACAAAATTTAAAATTCATACTTGGAAAAAAAATTACTGTATGACAAATTCTATCATTTAAAGCTATTTTTAGAATTTTAATAAAAACCCAAACATATGAAATTGAATTTATTCATTTCTTTTTTTCTCAAGAATTGTCAACAAATGAATTAAACACTTATTTACAAGACTGCTTATTTACAAAAATTTTATATTTACAAGTTTATAAAGATATGCGAATCAACTAAAGTGCAATATTTATATTATAAAAAAATAACTATGAAAATAATTTTTTTTTTTATTATTCATAAACTTCCAAAAATGACAGAACAAGAAAATTGCGAAAATCAATGTCAAGAAAGGGAAAAAAAAAAGCCTTTTCTGTGCTTTTATTTTCTCTCACCACATTAATTTACTAAAACTGGTTGGGAGCATCCGGAATTATACTTTTATTATCAACTAGCAGACATACCCAGCTGGTTGATCAGAAAAAGTGTTCAATTAGAATGGTGCAAAGCAGCATCATGTTTAGATGTAACAGAGTGTCTTTTTCAATTACTTTAAAGTACTTTCATTAAAAAATAATTTGAATTAATGCAGTTACTGATAGATTGGGTAAATACAGACTACTTCTAATCTAAGTTAGCCAAGGACATGAAGGGGTAAATCAGGCAATGTGAAGACTCACTTCAGACCACAATTATTTTGGAGTTTTTGAAATTTAATTTGTCAGTGTGCTACCAGGAATGTAAAAGATGATATATTTATAAAGTAAGTGTTAAGTTTGATGAAAATTGCTATTTACGTGGGTTTTCACCATATGGGTGGACTCAATTATCAAGCTAAATGACGAGTAAACAATCAACTTAGTGCTGGCTAAAATTGAGGGAGTTTAGCTCAAAATTTGTGTTGAAATAGATTTGTGGTTTTTTGCTAAATGCAGTGGCGTAGATATAAAAAATGAGGTATTGTTGAGCTTGTCATGATGTAAGTAACCTGCATACTGATTGAACGAAACTGAAGGGAAGAAGTTGAATTTATCAATTTTTGATCAGTATTATAGATCGATTTTTTTATGCTAAGAACCTATCTCTTACATTGTATAATTTAAGTGACAAGTTTGGTGAAAATCGGTTAGGTGTATCTTGAGTGAAAAGCTATCACACAGAGACAGATATCCTCTTCTCTCTCTCTCTCTATATATATATATATATATTTCTTGGAGAAAGAAGAAAAAAAAAAAAAAAAAAAAAAAATAAATCCAGTTTCAGATGTTTATGTTTTATGAAAACTATAAAAACGGCTTTAAAAAAAAAAAAATCCTTTTGACAGTTTCTTTCTGCAGGTACAAATGTTAAACTTTACCATTTTAATATTATGGTGTGTGTGTATATATATATATATATATATATACACACACACACACACACACACACAAGATAGGACCCACCTTATATGATTGACAAGTTTATGAGGAGAGGGGGAGAGAAAAATTATATTCTAATAAATCTTGAAGAAAAGTTGACTGAATATTGCAATTAAAACATAACCATGTGCATCACATGCTATCCACAGGTGTCAGTGTTGCTATAAAATAAAAATATTTTGCCTCCACAAATGACTGGCCTACAACTATTATACACCAGAGTGAATCACAACTATGCTACCTCTTGCCACACACAAGCAATTGAGACAAAAAGGCAGCTGCTTTATTTAATGGGAACAAAACATTGTGAAATAGAGAAAAATTCATAAATTTGGAACAATTACAAGATGAAGGTAGGATGGGGTGATTTGGGGAAAAAATTAAAAATAACATCAACAAGCAAAGAAACAATGCCAGGACCCACCTTTTGGAGCTCATCTAGTTCATTAGAACAACTTCCACCACTCATTGCTTCCTCCTCCTCCATTGTCCGCTCGTCATCATAGCCTTCATGTTTCATCAAGTCTGCAGTAGGATCAAAGTCTTGGTCCCGATTGTCTGAGAGAACAAAAAATAATCAAACAAAATACATTTCAATTGTCTACATCAAGCCGAACACTGGTTTTATTGTAATTTACATGAATACTTTGGTTATATAGTTTAGTTTTAGCACAAGACCACAAGTATAGACACACCCAGTAAGAAGCAAACTCTTCTGTTAGCAGCAATAATCATATAGAACAGATTATTATTATTACCTCACTAAAAAAAAAAAAAAAAAAAAAATATCAAATGTTTCTATCAGTGTTTTCATAAATGATGATACCTACTTGTTTTTGTCATAAGCTGATACAGTTTCCAGAATTTCTGAACAAAGTTCAACAATAGGTTCAAAGCCAACTCACTTCCCTAAATCTGATCAAACATCTTTTGAAAGAGATTTTAGGTTAAAAATTTTCAACACTTAATTCTTTGAGCGCTGCTTTCATTAATGTCAAAATCCGTATTATTCACTTTTGCATTAATAATAAGAAAAAAGAAAAAAAAAAAAAAAGGAAAAAGAAAAAAAAAGTGAGATCTGTTCTATGATTTTGAACTCATTCTCTTGAGAGAAGCATAGCCTCTACCATTTCTTTATATACCCTATATCAACCCTGATTTGTTTCACCTCTGGTAAGGCTTTCCAGCATTTCTCAAATCAAATTTTTTTTAGGATAGCTGTATCATGACTGTTCATAAATTTGATATTTTTTAATGGCTTATCAATCCTTTGTGGGTTATTTAAAGCTGAAAAATTCTGTATTGTGAGAATTTTTTTAAGGGAATTTTGCATCCCCCCCCCCATACAAATCTTACTATTTAAGCTATAGTTGGGAGGAGGAGACAGAATAATACCTTTCCCCAAGGGCTATATCATGAAGTTTTACTTAAAAAGATGATATCCTGATGTTATATTGACTGCAAATCTTCTGCACCTTCTTCTTGGGGGCAACCTTTATTGTAGAGAGACATTGATCCATTGTAACTGGTATCTATAGGAATTGTATTTTGGGCAATTCAGAATTTGTGTACATTCTGGAAAGATTATATATCTTGACAAAGATAAACATTGAACCTGGTCTGATAATCCTTCAGTTTCTAGGGTGAAAATCAAGCTGCCTTGGTATCCCCCACCTTTCATTTATCTTACATCTTATGTATTACATATACAATATATTCTATTGTGTAACAACATTGACTGCTTATGAGTTTGTTCTGATGTCATAAACATACTATTCTTTACTTCAGACAAAAATGCTGGTTTGTCTCAAGGTTAAGGATATACCCGCGCACCCTCGTTTCCCCGAAATAGAGGTCTTAATTTTGTTTTCTGTGCAAGTCACTAAGACATCGAGTTTGTTATTGTGATATGCATCTGACTTCTTGCTGCCATCTCTAATTTCGTTTTTGGGAAATTGGAACTGACGCTTTCATAAGATACTTCTTGACATATCATATACATTAACATTTCTGAAAAATCATTTTATCTTCTACATCTTAAAAAACAAAGATTATATTGCAATATAAAAACAAATTATATAATTTTTAGTTCTTCACCCAAAACATAAAAAAGCATATAAAACTTTAAAGAGTCTTGGAGTATATGTCTTTGGGTCATATGTATCACACAAACGAAAATAAAGTGGGGGGGGGCAGAGAAAAGAAAAGTAACTTCCTTTGAAAAATAATAAAAACATTATCTAGCTCGAGGTTTAAAAAAAAGGAAAAAAAAAAAACTAAACATTTGCCACAAAGTAAACTAAAGATTATCTTGAATGAACTACACGGAAAAATAAGAGTCGCACGCACACAGCTGTATTCGGAAAATTGAATGTTTATTTGCAAATAGATATGAACAAGTTAATACGAGTCTGGGACGAACTAGATCGACATAAGCCCCCTCACCCCCAATGGAAAACGTGTGTAAAGAAACAAAAAAGTGGGAGAGTATTTTGAACGGAGAAAACCCGACAAACAGACAGACACGTGTGTAAGGTTCTATCAACATCGTGCTGAGTCACTGCCCATAGGCAGAGACAACGTTGCCGCATTTAGAAAATAGTTTTACTTCTCAGAAAAGATAAATTTAAAATCTTGAATGCAGATTATATATAATTTCGAAATAAGTAATGTGTACGCGTTACGTAGCGAAATTAGAAAATTTTCTTTTCAAAATGACGAAAAAACGGAGTGAACGGAAAATACTTCCGGTGAAAAAAGAAAAGTGCACAACTATTCATCTAAATACAAGGAGAATCAGTTTTAAGATTAACAAATATGAACAAGATTAATATTTTAACTATGAAATTCTTTAAAGAGACTAGAAAAATTCGACACTTTAGATTCGCACCAAATAAAAACAATGCGTTAGAAAGCTAAGTGCTTGGTGTTTGTTTACTTCTCGACAAGTCGGCTAAAAAAAGTTGTTTTTTTTTTTTTTCCAAGTGAGAAAAACAAAATACTGAAAGAAAAATAAGTAACTTAAATTTAAGTAAGAATCGAACTGTATATGAATAAAACAAATGAGAGGTTTTAAGAAATGGCTTAAGAAGTTAGAAAAGTCGTCGGTGGGAAGCACAAAATAAAGCATCTTCGTCGTTCTTATTACGATGGAAAAAAGGGATTCGATTTCCAGCAGTATACTTATTTATTAAATAAAATATTTTCAAACGGACGGTTGAGAGATCACGCATAAAAGAGACGATGGAGAAAAATAGTATTTTTGTTTAAGTTTTTTTGATAAAAATAATTTGCTATCAAATTAAAATTTAAGACGAAGACAAAACCAAATGAAAAAGGACAGTATTTTCTCCTGGTATTGTTTTTAACTTAAGCTTTTTAGAAAAAAGATCAATCGAACAAATAAATCAAAAGTTTTAAAACTAAAATTATACTTAAATATCTAAGTGAAATTTAGATTAATTTATATATATAAAATAATGAATATAAATAAAATTAAAAGTAAAATTAGGGAGAAAAGTTTGAAGTATTTTAAAGTGTAGATCGCGCGGGATAAAAGCTTTTAAAAATGCAATACACTGACTAGAAGGCGGGAGGTACAGGGAACATTGCATATAAAAGTTTAAGATTGTTCCTAATGATAATTAAAGTTGTAAAAAACATGAAAATTTTAGTATAAAATATAAGAGTTAGATGTATATTCCTCTAAAATTAAATAAAATTGTCCAAATTTATTTGACATGCAGAAAGTTTATGTCCAAAGTCAAAACCCAACTTAAAAATTCAGAGTAAAGTTGACGAGGGAAAAAAAAAAAAAAACACGCTTAAAGGAAATTGTACATTCTTTAAGAGAGCTTTCTTGAGAAGTTTAAGCCATTTGAGAAAAAATATTTTGAAATGATAAGAATAAAAGGCG